GGTTGGTTGGTGGTTCATGCGAAAATTCGAAAGAATTTCGAATCGAACAGCAATATAGAAATGAAGTTAACACTGTGCCGGCTCAAAAGGAAACAACAGCAGGGGCGTATGCACGGGAGTGCAACAGAATGCGTGTGGGTATGCATACATGTATTTGTGCGAGTGAGTTGTTTTTCGCAGGAAACTGTTGTTGTGCTCGGATATCCCACGGGGGGAGACCAGTTGAGTATTACGGAAGGCGTGGTCAGCCGGGTGGGGGTTTCTACGTATGCACATTCTTACCTTGGGTACGCTCTCGGCTTCGGCTCAACTCAAAGGCCTGTACCGCTGCAGCTGCCACTGAAGCTGCGCCTGATGTTGCAGCAACGCATTTCTTCAGATAAATTGCAGCAACGTATTGGTGCAACTTGTGCTGCCGCTACAGTAGTCATGGGTGGGACCTGCCCGCACGGTCCTATGGAGCTGAAGTAGTAGCTGTAGATCAGATGTTTATGTGGGTAGTTTGGGTGTTTTGTTTTTGTTTCAGGCTTCTTACAGTGCAGATAGATGCCCCTATAAACCCAGGAAACTCGGGTGGTCCGGCAATATCAGAGGGAAAGGTGGTGGGAGTTGCATTTCAAGGATTCAGCGAAATGCAGAATGTTGGGTACATAGTTCCATTTCCGGTGATTCGGCACTTTTTAAATGATATTGCGCTGCATAAAAGGCACACCGGCATCGTCTCCATGGGGATAAAAGCTCAAACTATGGAAAATGAAGGTAAACAAAACCGCACGGAAACTCGAGTTCTATCTACCCTGTGAAACCCATAACAAACAAACGAGGGCTCCTCGGGCTCCCCAGTTGTTCGTAGTTCAGAACTGCGGTGGATGTGCCGCATGTCAGTCTTTAGGGAGCTTAGATGTACTGCAATATACTGAAGTAACAGAAACAGGAAATGTTTGGATGCCGGTATGTGTGAATGGTGTCTGTGCAGCTCTGAAACAGTTTAAAGGCATGCACACTTTGCCTCCTGAAGCGCTGCCTGAGAACGTGACGGCCTCTGGCGTGTTGGTTGTGGCTGTAGACAAGTTGCGTTCGCACATGTACATGCAGGGGAAGATAGCGCTTCCTATTTCACGATATGATAAGCTGGAGGAAACAGGGGGGAGTTGCGAGCATGAAGCCGCTTCAACTCCACCGTCTTCTGCTGTCAGCTCTGAGAAACGAAAATGCAAACGCAGGAGGGGGCCCAGNCCGCTTCAACTCCACCGTCTTCTGCTGTCAGCTCTGAGAAACGAAAATGCAAACGCAGGAGGGGGCCCAGCCCCGTTCTGATTGATGATCAGCCTCCGGGAGATGCAGACGACGACAGCGCGCAGCAGCGAGACGTTAAGGAGGTCCCTGCGCGAGTCATTTGGCAACCCGAAAACTGGAAACCCAGCCAGCCCCAATCTGCATGCACCCGTTGCAGCAGGCAGCAATCAGCTCAGAACCCGGACAGAGGAACCAGTGGCATCTCCGAAGAAAAAAGGAAATCTGATCTCCCTGCTGCATCTGTATCTGCTGGTGTAGCGACGGAGAAGCACAGAAACCACAAGGAAAGCCCCGCCAAAGGTAAAGAGGAAGAAGAAGAAAACGACGAGAGTGAAAGGCCAGCTGAAACCGAAGCAGAAAAAACAGTGCAAGATGAACAAACCCAAGAAATTCACAGCAATTCTCCAGTCATTGATGTGCAAATTGCAATCAATGAAGTTGAAATAGAAGGGAAAATNAAATTCACAGCAATTCTCCAGTCATTGATGTGCAAATTGCAATCAATGAAGTTGAAATAGAAGGGAAAATTACGAATTCAGAAACAGAACCAACGAGTGATGGGGCAACAGTCCTGAGTGCGTCCATAAACCCTAAACCCTAAAACCCTAAACCCTAAACCCTTAACTCTGAATCTGACACGGACATTCACTAGTGGAGTAACAGCGCCCAGGTAGTTCTTGGGGTTTAGGGTTTAAGATTTAGGGGTTTGAGTTTTGCGCTCGCAGGCAGCGAAACTTCTACTGGAGATGAAGAGGAGGAAGATGCACCAGCAGCAGAAGATATATATGGTAACACAGAAAAACATATGGAGGAGGAGAAAGGGGAAAAAGTATCAAGCGAAGAACAAGAAGAAAGAAGAGATGCAGAAGCCAAAGTAGATTCAGCTAAGAACCCTGGTACAAGTGCATCCGATGCAACAGCAGCAGCAGCAGCAACAGCAGCAGCAAAAGAAGCAGCAGCAGCAACAGAAACAGCAAACGAAGCAACAGAAACACCAGCAAAAGAAACAACAACAGATGATGATGATTCTCTACCCCCAAGAGAGAAACTTGAATCACTGCTGCGGAAAGCGCTAGGGGGCCGAAGCACACTGAGACAAATAAGGAGCCTCTTGCGCTCTCATGACGATGAAACAAATGAAGATGAATCTACTAAATTAAACAATAAAAATTTGAATAAGAATATTCATAAACTTGAACAAAAAACACAACAACACTCGCCCACAACCAGCGAAAGCAAACCACCATCAGCTTCTTCTCCTGAGACGGAACAGCACCAGCAGCAGCAGCAACAGCAGCAACAGCAACAGCAGCAGCAGAAACGGCAACCGAAAGATAAAAATGAAGGAGAAAAGAAAGAAAACAGAAATAGAAGCGAAAACACTCAACTGAAAGCTGAGGAGGGGGAGGGGTCAAAGGGATGCTGCAACGCGGCGCATAGATCAACGAGAGAAGAAGAAAAGGCAGAAAAAGAAGAAAAAGAAACAAATAAAAAAGAAGAAATTGATGAAAAAGATATTACACTCGCGGCACCCGTGCGTACACTTGTAGATAACCCATACTTTGATCCTCGTCTTCTGGAGGAAGAAGAATTTCTAGGGTTTAGAGAAGGCGACGTCATTCTCTCTATTGGCAAATACAGTAAACCCTAAACCCTAAACCCTAAACCCTAAACCCTAAACCCTAGACTCTACAAAAACACTCGTACAGTATGAAGAACAGGAGATGAGGCAGTGGAATCATACATAACATACAGTAATACAGCATTATATAATAAACCCTAAACCCTAAACCCTAAACCCTAGGAACAAGCACGTATAGTGTAGATAACAGGATCTGATGTAGTAGAACCATGCAAACCTCACAGTAATATATCTTGATACACTAAACCCTAAACCCTAAACCCTAAACCCTAAACCCTAACAACACGCACTAAACTTCGCTCTACAGAAGAGAAATGTCTCAGGCAAGCATTGCGTATGCACGGGGCTTTAATCTTAAACCCTCATGATCCAAATGCAACCAAAACCCTAAACCCTAAACCCTAAAACCCTAAACCCTAAACCCTAAACCCTAGAAAAGATGGGTTTTGTATGTGTTGCAGATGTGGCGGACGATGGAACGGTTTCTTTTCGGTGCGTCTATTGTTATTGTCGTTTTGTTTTGTTTTTTGTTTTCTTTTTTTTTGTTTTGTTTGTTTTGTCTTTTGTTTTCTTTTTTGTTTTGGTTTTTGTTTTCTTTTTTTTTGTTTTGTTTGTTTTGTCTTTTGTTTTCTTTTTTGTTTTGGTTTTTGTTTTCTTTTTTTTTGTTTTGTTTGTTTTGTTCTTTGTTTTTTGTTCTTTGTTTTTTGTTCTTTGCTTTTTGTTTTTTGTTTTTTTTGTTGTTTGTTTTATCGTTGGGGTTAATCGGCATATTCTGCTACCTTTAGCTGCAGCAGCAAACAACAAAACCCATCATCATTATCATCTTTTTCTTTTTCTTTTTTTTTTTTCTGTTTCTTTTTTGTTTTCTTCTTCTTATTATTATTATTATCATATGTATATGTATATATCTTTTCATTATTCTCTCACTCTCTCATTATTATTATTATTATCTGTCTATCTCTTCTTCCTCTTCTTCCTCTCTCTCTCTTCTTCTCTTTCTTCTCTTTCTCCTTCTTCTTCTTATTATTACTATTATAATTAACTATACATATATATATATATATATATATATATATATCTTTTTTTCTCTCTTTTTCTTTTTTTTT